ATTCACACAGTGGGTCTTCATTTCTTGTCTAAAGATGGGCAGAAGAATATATAAATCACAGTGATCAATTTACACAGCCACATTTCATTCACAAGTGAAAAACAAGCCAATGGGTAAAGTACGCCCTGCAATGAACTGTCGTCAGTGTTGTTTCTGATTTTTTAAATGTATACCAACATGCCAATATTGCAGGAAAATGCACACAAAATGTACATATTTCTGAAAATAATGTATAGATATATTGAGGGAAATAATGTACAGAAATGTGTTATTTTGGAGAAATGGGTACAAAGAATTGCATTTTTTTAAAATCATACAGTGATATAGAACTAAAATGGTAGGATTTTTCTTCTGGAAATAAGAGAACTTAAGAGAAATGGACAGAGTTGTCCATCCCTGTTCTTCAACAAAATGTATGTGAGCCTGGAAATAAAGAATAAAAAGCAATTCTGTATGTTTTCAGATAAAATGGTCTAGTTGTACCCCAAATCTGTCTGTCTTAAATTACATAAGACACCTTATCAGGGATTACAGTTTGGCTAACCCAGCATTCTCAGAGGCTGTATTTAGCCATTTAGTTGTAAATGCAGTTATATATGCTTCAGATTCCAAAGTTCTCAGTTCCAGGAAATATCCATGTTACGGAAGGAATAAGCTGAAACTGCTGAACAAGTGCAGACAATAAAGCTTGCTGGAACCCGTGGTGTCATTAAGTAATTTGAGTCCATGTTGACCTTATACCCCTGTATTAGAGTAGGTCTGGTCCCCACCCCGCTTCGAAAGCTCAATTATCTGACCAAATGCAGGAGCATTTGGTTGCCTTCCCACCAGTTCTTCTGAAGTGGAGAAAGTCTCATCCTGATGCTACCACTGAAGAGCAAACTGTCAGCATGGCAGCTAAACAAGAAATGTTTGACAAAGACAACTGGACTGTCTCTAAACTCTGCATGCAAAAGTGAAAGTACTGGCTGAGTCACAGTCAAACACATGCAGATGATGATTGCTTTGTTCACACTGAGTTGAGCACACCATGCTGAGCTGTCTTCTTTTTAAAGAAACTTAGAAACAGAGCGAGTCAGAAGGGGTCTCCCGGGCCATCTAGTCTGACCAGCCAGCTCTGCTCACGACATGCCCACCATGTGGATGTCCAGCCTGTCCTTGACCACCCGTACCGATGGGGCCTCAACGACCTCTCGTGGAAGCCCATTTCACACCCTCCGGGTCCCGACTGTCAGGAAGTGCTTCCTGGCATCCAAACGGAACCTTGGCTCCCTGAGCTTGGCTCCGTTGGAGCGCGTCCTGCCTTCCTCTGCAGGGGAGAACAGGTCTCTGCCCACCTCCGTGTGACACCCCCTCACATACCTGGATATCGCCAACAGATCCCCTCGGAGTCTCCTCTTCCCCAGGCTGAAGAGGCCCAGTTCCCTCAGTCTCACCTCATACGGCATCCCCTGCAAACCGGCCACCAACCTTGTGGCCCTTCGCTGCACTGGCTCTAACCTGGCTATATCCTTCCTGTAATGAAGGGCCCAAAACTGAGCACAATACTCCGGTTGCAGGTGCACCAGAGCCGGACTTCTGTAATCTGCCCTGACTTACCAAGGTCATTCCTATTCGCTGGTATAAGTTCTTAGCCCCCCAGGTTTGGGTGATTTGGGGGTGTTTTGAACAATAAAACAAGTCCTGGTGGGGTTTTCCCATTGTTAGTCCATCATGTTCTTCCATGGACCTTGTATACAACTAGCACAAAGAACCCAGCAAAGAAAGGATCATGTCAGCCATCTAGCCTCTATGCATGGACCAATGATGAAGAGGCAGGGGGCATTGGAAGGGAGCAATGCACCTTGGGATTGAATTTCAGGTGCAATGGCTGATGGGATACCTGCCAACAGCAGCGGGGTTAGGATGGAAACCACAGTAAAGTAGAAACCACTTGATTTTCTGTAAGGGTGTTCGTGGTAAAAACCTGTGGTGGTGTCCTTTCATTTAGTTGTCTTTCTATGATTTCAAGCAGGAAGGAGGCCAAGACTGGCTGAAGTTTCACGCCCTGGACATTTTCTTCTTCAGTGCAGACTGAAGTCATCTTTGAAGTCATCAACAGAATGGCAACCATCAAGGAAAGGTGAATTCTCCTCTCACAACTTCCACTGGATGATCTCAGATAATGGCAGAGATCTAGAAGATTACCTAATTTTGTAATTTTGAACCCAATACTCCAACCCTTTCCAGAATCTGTCAAAATTTACATTTTTTTTTCTGAATCTTGGGATGGAGCTTTCCAAAACCAAAGTAAACTTGTCAGGCAAAATCAAAAAGTCATACTGTTAGGGAAAGACAGACTCACACACACAATGCAGAATATTTGTAGGGCAAGTTGCTTCCAAATATGCACAGTTTAGACAATCTTGCATACAAAAACGAGCACGTGAGAAGACGTGTCCATCAAAGTACATGTGGGTTTTTGCATAAGCATAATTTTCAAAGTAGGGTGAACCAAACTTCTGCCTGGAAAAATGAGAGATAAAAGTTTAATCTTTGGAGTACTTTCCAAAGAAACAAGAAAGATGCATGCTCATTTGATGAGCTAAAGTAATATAGAAACATAAAAACACAGAAACATAGAAACAGAGCGAGTCAGAAGGGACCTCCCTTTGCAAGATATTTTTGGAAGATATGTAATCTTCCCTTTGTAAGATATTTTTGGAAGATATGTAATCTGCCCTCTGTAAGATATTTTTGGAAGATATGTAATCTGCCCTCTGTAAGATATTTGTAATCTCCCTCCCTCCCTCCCTCCCTTCCTGACCCACCAAACCCCTTCCCTGCAAAACTCAGGGTCCCAATCCCTCACTCTCTCTTTTGAGGGGCTTTACTCTCATCCAGTTGTGGTTTTGTTTTGGGGGCAGTGTGCAGTGCCATCTCCCTGACTTGCATCTGCATTCACTGGTGGTGAGAAGGCTGTTTGGACATAAGAGGGGTTGGAAAGAGGACAGTTCCCTGTATCCTGCTGCATGAATTGCTGCATGCAGTTCGGGTTCTCCTGGCTTCGACCACAGATTCGTCTTCTGCAAGTAAAAGCTGGGGCGGGACATTATCTTAGTAGAAGAACCAGCTGATGGCAGGGAGCACTAGGTGAAGGAACGCTGGCTGAGTCAGCCAGGGCATGGGGATCAGCTTCTGGGACCCTCGCTAGAAGGAGCTAGGAACATGGGCTAAACATGCATGCATGGGATGTGAGCTCTCTCTGTCTCTTTCTGTTTTAAGAAGTCTGCACTGTATTCCTGACTGAAGGGAATTGCTTGGCTCTTCTGTGTCCATAGAAACACAGAAACAGAGCGAGTCAGAAGAGGCCTCCTGGGCCATCTAGTCTGACCTCCGGCACCAGCCGGCTCCGCTCATGACATGCCCACCATGTTGTGAGTGGAGTCCATGATTGGCACTGTTTGGACAGAGGCTGGCGTTCTGTATGGGCCAAGTAGGAATTTTGGGGTTGGATGTCTACATTGGCCAGGAAATGTGAGTGCTCCCGCCTGCTCCATTCTGACTGGACTCTAGCTGGGGGTGGGTGTTTCCATATGTAGAGAGAGCATTCCTTCGGCAGGGCAGGGAGGTGGACGGCTGGTGCTGGAGGCACTAAGGACTGGGGATGAGATGCTGGAGGTACCAAGAAGGTAAAATGAATTCCCATGGCCTGCCAACCAAGATTGGCAGAACCTTTTGGTCCTGAACGAACCACTGTTAAAACTTGTGGGACTTGAGGACGGCCTGCACTCCAAAGGGGTGGCTGGAGGTTGAACGTAGTCTCGGTACCATCTTTGACCTCAATGGCCCGCAAGGCACAAGGCAACCATGCAGCGGATCTCTGTTAGAATCAATGCAGCTCTTGTCCTGGTTCACCCAACATTTCCAGTATGACCGTTTATTTGTTCGTGGGATCACAAAAGACACATATCACATCCAAGCAGCTCTGCAAACTTTTTCAATGACATTTCACCAAGATAAGTATTCTACAAAAACGAGGAAGCTGTGGCTTTCCTGTGCCTAATTAGGGAATGTGGCCATGCGGAGAGATAAGAAAAGGAAATAACCCACGGGGTCTTTGCATGTGTGTCCAGAAGAAGAAAAAAAACCCCAAGAAATATATTTCAGTGGTGTATATGTTTTCAGAAGAAAAGAAAAATAACCCATGGGATTAATTAGTATTTCATTTCATGCACTTAATGTATTGGAGCTCCATAAACTGTTCCCACTGGATTTCCAAAAAGGGACTTGAGAAGGTTTGAGTGCACGGAAGTCCCCTTTTATATTCCATTCCATTTAGAAGATTAGGCAAAAGGCAATCAATAAGACTGAAACCTCACACCTAGAAGCTTACTCCTCTGAGAAGATATGCATAAGGCTGCAAAGGAGAAACCGAGGGGAACCATCAAGCCCAAAGAAAGCATCTTAAAGTCTGATTAAGACTGCAGTCCTACTGAACACCATGTGGGGATCTTTGGCCCATGGGCCTCATGCAGCTCTCCGGGTCTCTGGATCTGGTCTTTCTAGGCCTCTGGCTTTTCCTCACAACCTGCCTCCTCACCCTAGGCCCAGCATCCACATGAATCCAGGTCTTCTGTATGGATAATTGATATGATCTGCACCATCTTACGCTGTTCTCCACTACAAATCTGAGAGAGGGAGAGAATGCTGGTTGCAGTGGTCTTTTCTCCCATAAATACACCAAAGACCTTGTCCAGTCAACCCATCTAAGGGAATTTCATAGACATTCATGACATGCTTACGTCTGCCCATTTGGGGATTCCATCCATGCCCACTGCTGGACCCCAGACCAGATATAAGCACTTACCTGGCAATGTCCCATTGAACTTAATGGGACATGGTTCTTAGCCAACATATCAGTGAGAGACCAAGGCTTAATTTGGGCTGGATCATAATTTATAATTCCTCCTCAGGTCTGAGTAGAAATACATAATACCTGAGATATCCCATCCCTGAAATAATAAATAATGCACTTTCTGTCCTATGCCAATGTAGTCTTTTTCTTTTACCACTTGTGTCTGCTGCAAAATTTCGGCGTGAAGTTTGCTGAACGCAAAGCAGTTCTGTGAAGATGGCAAGGGCGATGGACTGATCTTCAGGCCTTCAAGTGGCACAAAGAAACGGCAAGTTCTTGTTGTTATTTTTGCTACAGGAACTATCCATTCACCGCCTTAAGGAAGGAGCAGCCCCAGTCCTCCCCATCATATCTGAAGGCCCCTAAAACATTGTTTTTGGGGAAGATATTTGTTTCCAAATGGTTGAATGGGTCGATTTCCACTGATATCTGGTCCCCCTTCTCCAGATGCACCAGAAGCCCCAGAAAGCGGTCATGAGTCAATCCTCCACTCTTCTGCTGAGAACTGCATAAAGTGACCACCGATTCCTTCAAGATCTTCTTGCCGTGAAGAAGTTTGACCTTTACGTCCATCTCATCGCTTTCACACTGGGCAACGTAAAAGTACAAATGACAATAGACGAAGTACATTCCCGGGATCTGGATGACTAAGTTTCCATCATTGTACTTCATATTGTACAGAATGCTGTCCCTCATCCACTTTAGTTGTGATTGGTTGACTGGAGTCAACACTGGAGAACCAAGGGAGGAGAAAGAGAAAGAGAAGAAACTCCATGTCAAATGTTAAATAATGTTCAATATCATGCAAGGGGTTGCTTACATAAGCTTATAAGACAAGCAAGTTTATCTCCTTCATATTCATTTTTGTATAACATGAAAATATTGGGAACCCAACAACACAGGCATTTCCAGCTTACTTGACCCTCAGGAAAATGTCCTCAGAGCTTGTGCAGACTCTGCAGTGCATATACGCACAAAAACTGCCAGTAGCAAGTTAAAAAAGGCCATACCAGGCAAAACAGTGTCAAGTCCAAGAGAAGAGAAGGATATGAAGGAACCGGATGTTCAGGACCTTGGACAGCAGACTAGAGGGAGCGCCTAACTGGAGCCTTTTCTCACATGGAGAGCTGGATTCTGGCAAGGGACTGCAAGCGACTGAGGTCTCAGGCAGGCAGTCTGGTCCAGGTGTTTCAGAATCTGGGTACCCTTTATGCATTTATTTCTTGAATTTGTAAATGCCTCCATGCAGAAGGACTATTCAGCAAAGACTACACTGAATGGATCCGTTCATTTCTCTGGAGGATCAGCTGGGAAGCCTGAACCAAGGAGCTGTGCCAAAGGACACACAGAAAGACGGGGCCAGGAGGGCCTTCTTGCCAAGCACAGGTTTTGCACAAGAGGTCTCTGCTTAGAAGTCTTCCTGCCCTGAACGAGACAATGGACCAGTTGCTGGGACATGGACAGTCCAGAGCCTTAGAAGATGCAGCTCTGTGGGCTGATGCTTCCAACTCCCATCTCTTGGCTCACTCCTGGACAAGGGCATGGCACACAAATTCAGCAGGTGGTTTAGCAGTTTGTTGGGGAGAAAAGAGCTCAGAGAGAACCCAAAGGGCACAAGCCAGTATGCAAAGGAGCTGAACTTTGAGGCAGGAGCAGATGCGGGCCAGGTGTGGGGACCTGTGGCACTTCTGGGGCTGATGGGCTGCCATACCATGGACAAATATGCTTGGATCCCTGCAATATTTAGGCTGTCTTAGCTCCCTCCTCTTCACACACACACGTAGTGTAGTCTTTGCTGAATAGAATGCCATGACTGACCTTGAAGATACGCAGCTGCTTTCTTAGGTGCTGTTGGGCTCTCCTCGAACTTCAAGGCCTCTTCCGACTCTAGAAAATGAAATAAAACATGAAGCACCATGCACTCGGCTTTTGTCCCCTGAAACAGCCAGTATCTGGTTATGATTTAGTGACTATCCCAGAATCAGGCTGGTCAGACATACCTTCTTGGAGATGAAGGCTGTCAATGCTACTAGTCCTGATGGCAAGGTGCTACCACCATTGTCTGCCTCTGTTGGCTCCTTGCTGAGGAACCAGGGCAGGAGAGAGCTGCCACATCCGTGCCCCATTTGCAAAACAGCCTGCTGCCAACACGGTTATACTTTTGGCATCAAGTTAAGATCTCCCCCTTTCCCCAGGCATTTGCCTACTATGATGAAGTTTTAATCAGGTCCTAGATTGTTGATTGCTTATGCTTGTTTGGGATGGGTATGTGTGTGATTCCTATTTATATGTATGGACATAAATGATTTTTATAATGCGTATTGAAAGTTTCAGTCTTTGTAAACTGCCTGGAGAACTTTGGCTATTGGGCAATATAGAAATATATGAAAAGAAAAGAAAAGAAAAGAAAAGAAAAGAAAAGCCTGTGGCAAGTGGGTTGGCCAGTGTGTGACAAGAATGCTGGACGGGATGGCCCCTCAGCTGATCCAGTCTCAGCGTTCTTCTGATGTTCTTCAGCAGATATGGCATATGGTTTTACAATTATGTTGTACTGAATCCGATTTTAGCCTCCTTTCCTCCATGGAGCACCTGCGCTTGCCTTTTAACAACCCTGCAGGTGAGGTCAGGCTGAAAGAAGGTGCCTGGCTCACAACAACCTCATGAGCACCATGTCGACATGGGGAGCTGAACCCTGGTTTCCCCCGTGCGAGGCTCTCTGTGTAGGCTCTCATTATCACTGTGCATGTTAACCACCTGAAGGTAAAAATAGCTAAAAGGTCTTGGGGGAAGTCAGAGAATGCGGAGGAGGTGTGCAGCCAGCCATCTCTCCCATGATTTTGGAAGGCCATTGATAAATTCCAGGTGGGACTTCTTTCAGAACTCCTCATTAAAATATAGGGGGAGGTGTATCCTGTTCAAGAAAACTCAGTGCTCTCTTTGAAGGGCAGTCAGAGGACAGTCAGGACAGTCCTCTATTTGGAGGGTCCTCTGTGTGAAGGTTTCCACTGATCTCAGTATGAAGAACCAATGGAAGCTGGGAGAAGAACAGCAGGGCCCTGGGAGTGACCAGGGACTGAGAAGACAGAGGTACTGTTGAGATGTGCCCCACTCTGGTTTCTATCTGCGTGAGAGGGATCGTTTCTAAATTTTCTTCTCTGCAGGTACAAATCACACGTTTCTCCCATGCCCAAGTTATGCAGATCTGTGCCCGCCATTTCCTTGCAAAATCCCTCCTACTTTTTTTCTTGGCCTCTGCCACCACTGTGCTAGCCAATTCCATGGCAATTTTGATGCAGAGGGTGGCACGTGACCCCTGGTTGGTTCTGGGTGCAAGATAGACCTCAGTCCTGGACAATGGCTACCCTGCATGCTGTGAGAGAATGGAAAGACAGCCATCCCTCCCTGGTTCATTATAATGTATTAATTTGTCCGTACTGCTGCTTCTGCTACGGAGGCATCGAGGTGGCGACTGTTTGGGAGTGGTGGAAAACTGGAGGAAGGAAAATAGGACAGCAGATCCTAGAAAAGGGAGCAACTGGCTCCCAGTGCCCTGAAAGCATGACATGCTGCATCATGGTCCACCCCTTCAGAACTCAGGAAGATGCCACCTGAACCAGAAGAAGGACAGTTCTAGAATCAACATTAGAGATGATTTCAGCAGAAGTGGAACTTGGGAGGGAAGGACCTGAAGGGCAGAGTGCATTGGAGCAAAGATCAAAGGATGGAATGGAGAGCTCCAGGTGTGTGACATCAAAGGAGGAAATGGTTGCAGCTTTGCGCATGCCAAGGCATTGTTGCACTGTGCTCCCTTTCCAGTGAAAAAGGTCACATGGCTCCGTAGATGGACAAGCGCATTTCCTTTGCATTGGAGGATAACTTTTGGGAAGTGACTGCTCAGCACTGGCAGTCCCAGAGCCAGGCCACAAATTATTTCGCCTCTTCATGCTCTTTCCACAAGGGCAGGCATACAGCACCCTCTGCTGGCTGCAGCCGGGAGTGCAGGAACTCCCAGAATGTTGATTCTGCTAAGTCAGTGCCAAGCATCCAACCGTGGCTGGGGGAAGATGCTCCTTTGATGAAAGGGGGCTTGATGTTACTGCTTGACTTTTCGCCCATGCATTTTTAACACCTGTAAAATGGTATTGCAGCTAAGGTTGCATTCCTTACCTGTGCATAAGCCCCTTTGGAGTCAGTGGGACTTGTGATTAGGGGCTGCACTGCTGTAGCTCTAACCAAAGCTTGTTATAAGAATAAGTTTAAGAAGGCAAAGTTTCCACTGTAAAAAGGAGGGGTGAGCTACTCATTTAAGAATCCATGGTTCTTCAGCAGCACCTGGAAAAACCAGGAAGCCACGATGACATCAGAAATAGCAGCAGCAGTGGCAGCGGCAACAGCAATTACATTTATATACGGCTTTTTCTCTTTTTGCAAGGAACCCGAGGCTGCTTGCACAGTCCTTCAGTATTCCATTTTATCCTTACAACAACAGCTCTGTAAGGTAGGTTAGGTTGAGAGTAAGTTACCCAATGAGCTTCATGGGTCCCCACCCCCATCCCCTGGCACACAATTCCAACACTCTAGTCATCACGCCACACTGGCTCTCAAAGAAGAACTAGTAGCCTAGTGAAATCATAGCTTGTGTTTTGGCATGTAGAGATGCGTGGCATTTCGCTCCAAACACAGCATTCCCATTTAGAGAGTTCAGTCTCAGAAAGTGTAAGACAGAGAAGGAAAGGGCCTGGAATGTGGCCCACAATGTCAAGATTAAGGAACAGCACTGTCAGTTACTCAAAGAGCCTCAAATTCAGGGAAGACGCTGTGGGTCTGAGAAAGATTCACTAACCCAGTGATCCAGTTTTAAGCCAAATAAGCAGTCCAATTAAATAACGTCCAGCATTTCTGCCCTCTGGCCCAGAGGCATCCTGACCCTCCCTGAGGGTGGAGTCAAGCCTTTAGGGAAAGGGAAAGGAGCGGGGTGGGGGGGGGAGGGTCTTCTGTTTGGAATCAACCCATGGACAAGAGCTGCTCCCACAAACCAGCATGGATGTGACTTGGATGGATGGTCCCGGAGAACAACCTTCTTTTCCAACATACTTTATCACACAAAATCTACCAAGCTCAAATAAAAGACTGCATTTCAAATGCCTTTTTGTTTAGATCTGCTGGAGAGGGAGGAGCAGAAAGATAAGCTCTTGACTGGGACAGAGTGTATGCTGACGGTTAGGGTTAGGGTCACTCAAAAGGATTCTGAGTAAAATAAGGTGGAGGAAAACCTCTGCCGCAGCAAACTGGGCTTAGAGGGCCCTATGGTGTGAAAGGGTTTCTTCCATGAGACTGCGACAGGGAGCAGAGGGGAAATGGGGCATTCTGTGCAGAGAAGCCAGTTCCCAGAGGTTTCTTCCTTCAAAATTTGCAGAGGAACCCTGAGGAGGGGAAGATCCTCCCGACAGCCCAGAGAATTCTGGCTGTGCTCCGTGATCACAAAATGCTGATTAACCGTTGTCTGGGTGGTGGAATGGAGTACAATGGAGAGGGCACAGGGGCCTGGCTGGCCTATATGAGGGCAGAGAAAGCACAGCACTCTGTGATGTTTTGCTGCAGGTGGGAATGGGGCAGAAATCGATCCGATTTCATTTTCCAATCCAGAGCAAGAACTGCATTACTTTATTTATTTATTTAGGGGACTTCTATGCCGCCCCATTCACCAAAGCCTCGGGGCGGCTCACAACTTAGACTTGAAAATCCATATTTCTCGAAGCTTCTGATGCTTTGAACAAGGATAACTGAATAGGAAACAAAGGCATTGATCTGTTCTCAAGAGTTATTAACTTCAGGCTCTACCTGGCCATCCCCCTTGCATGTTAGACCAAGAGCCTCTTCCATTTTCCAGCAATGCATTCATCTCAATTAAATGGAGGCAAGCTGTTTCCAATTTGCCCTTTCTTGATGGATAGCTGAGAAAAGTCTCTCTGTGTTTGTGCATGTACACTCATTACTGCAGGTGTGTGTGTGTGAAATCGCATTTAATGAATTGCGGATTATTAATAGTGTGTCGCACTCTGCAAAGAGAAATGTGAGATGAAGATTCATTGGGAGGCTATAATTGCTCCGGATTGAACCGGCACAGCAAGTTCTTATCGACATCGACACGTCTTTTTCAATTACCGCTTTTGAGCATCCCGGCACTTTAGGGAATTTGTCTAATAAGATGCTCATCAGCCTGTTTTTGTTTGGCCTGTTCCGTTTACATGGAATCATAACAGTAAGTGGCCTGCAGGAAGACTAGTCGGGGTGTTACAGCTGGTAAGGTCTGTGCTATCTCTCCTTCCTCAGTTGTTCCACTATATCCCTGTGCCATCGCTTTGGGCTCAGGTCACTCAGTGGTCCTTGCCATTCTTCTGAAAACAAGGTCAGCATCACATCTCTGATCCAGAGCATCTCTTCTTCTGTTCTAAAGCTGTCTCTTTCTGATGCAGCTTTTCCTGTTGCAGAGAAAACTGAGTCCCCCAAAAAGCTTGCCAAGTGCAGGAAACACCCATGTCTTTACAGCTATTTTTAAATAGTTGGGTTCCCTTTTAATCTCAGTTGTTCTTTGGGGAATGGTGTTACGTATCCTCCAGAGTTAAGAATCAGCCGCATTTGAATGCCAGAACCACAGAGCAAGATGCTCTGCAGTGACGCTGACAGAGCCACGACATAGTGAAAGTAACGGCCTAAGGAACATACAGATGTGGTTTCCCCACCGCTGGAAACTGTGATGCTTTTTCTGTTTACAGTATTAGTTCAAAGAAAGGGCAATTAATATTAAAACTGTATTCCTCCTTACGGATCAGCCAGGACAGGAGTGCTTGGACCTGATGCATCCCCTCTCTGGGTTCTGGTCTGGTGTCCGAGATTGGCACCAGTGGAGGCTCCGAAGGGACCAGCCCCACCCTGCCGCAGGGGCTGACAAAGCCAGACAGCTTCCGCAGCAGCAGCGGTGGCGACTCCTCCTCCTCCTCGGCCAGCCACTGCAAAGGAAGCCCCACGGAAGCTTGCCAGACAGCTGCGAAGGCTCCAGGCCACACGCTCCCTTCCAAGGTGTAGCAGTGGTTTGAAAGAAACAGGCAGTGGATGACCGGTCATGTGCTTTCATTACTTGCTTTGCCCACAAAGGGAGGGTTGATTGGTTCAGATCCCTGCCACTCAAAGGTGAGTTTAAAAACATTTCACCTTGTTACAGTGCTTGCTGGCCCAGGTGGCCACTGAAGGAAGGAAGGAAGGAAGGAAGGAAGGAAGGAAGGAAGGAAGGAAGGAAGGAAGGAAGGGGTTATTATGGTTTGTGGTGTTCTCCAAAGCTGGGCAGCTGTTTGAGAGTTAAGGAATCTTTAGTACTTTATCTGAGGGCTTCTTAACCTTCGAGCAACTACTGCAACCTGGGTTGGGAAGAGAAGGTCACCTGCCTGGATGATATGATCCCCAGTCCTCTGGTGCCAGGCTGCTAAACTGGCTCCAGAGGACCAGGGAAGTGGCTCCGTGGAGCACCTGGCTGGGGGCAGGGCTGGTTTCTCAGCCCTACCAAGCGTCACCAGGACTGCAGCAGGGACTGCGTGCTTGTGGAACAGGGGCTCCATCCTTGATCTTCAGAGGAAGGGGGAGGTAGCAGGGCTTTCCCGCTTTCTTTTTAAAACCCTTACCTCTTTTGATGGCCTGCTTGCCCTCCACCTCTGCGCTCCGTCTGCCACACTGTGCAGTTGATCCCTTGAAGACAGAAAGAAAGCCAGAAAATCAATCTGGAACGATCCAAACAGTTTTGCTCATTGCATTCATTGTTCTTGGCTAGGTTGCCGTGGAATTGCACACCTCGACGAAGTCTTAAAAACCAAACCAAACACCTAAATGCTCAAACTGGGCTCAATAATCCATAGGTGGCTTGAGGAGAGATGGATGTGTCTCTCTGTTTCATTTTCTTTTAATTTCACCTGAAATGACCCAGAACAGAACAGTCAACAGCACCAAACTGAACCATGAGCCATGTCTCTGGCCCAGCCCCTGAGACCCATGGGGCCCACCAGAACTGCCTGGTGCAGGTTGACCTCTGTGGGCAAAGGTTCCCCCTGACTGCACAAACAAGACGATCCTGCCCTATTTGGGGATTTCTGTCAGAGCAAAAATGTAATTTGGGGCAGGTGGAGTTCCAGCATAGCAAACCGGTGGAACAAATCAGCAGGGATGGGGAAATTTTGCACCATGGCACCACAATGCCTGTCATCCTTGTCCCTTTGTCATGCTGGCTGGGGCTGATGGAAGGGAGGGAGGTCTCCCCACACTGACGGTCAGTGGCCCAAGATAAAATTGACTTTGAGATTAGGATACGCAGAATGCCTGATGGAAGCCATGCGTGGGCACGTGGGCCAGCCCACTCCAGTTCTGCCTGGTATTCCCTGACTGCCCTCCACTGCCGTGCCCTTCCCTACAGACAGAGTGGTTTCACAGAATCATCGAATCATCACAGAATCATCATAAAATCATACAATAGTTAAGCTGGAAGAGGACACGAAGGCCATCGAGTCCAAGCCCTGCTGTTGCAGGACACCATGTTACACCATCTCACTCAGGTGGCTGCCCAGTTTCACTTTGAATGCCTCCAGTGTGGGAGAGCCCCCCACCTCTCCGGGCAGCTGGTCCCACTGTCGTATTGCTCTGACTGTGAGGAAGCTTCTCCTGATGTCCAGCCTGGATCTGGCTTGTTGCAACATGACTTGATTATTCCGTGTCCTACACTCTGGCACCAGCAAGAAGAGATCTTGACCTTCCTCGTTGTGACAGCCTTGGAGGTACTTCTAGAGGGAGATCATGTCCCCACTCATGGTTTGCCATGGTTGCTTACATGGCCCAGTAATTTTCTCAGTGGTTTCCCAACAGAACATCAGCTAGTGAAACGATTCTGTGATAGGAAGCTCTGATCTCCATGACAAGGCAACAGAAAGGCGAGGGGAATACCTGCCCTTTGGAGCAACTGATGGGAGGTGATGATGGAGGTACTGCAGTCAGTACCATACCAGTGTGTGGTTGCTGACTGGTTGCCTCCCACTTTCACTGGCATTAGCACCCCACTCCCGAAGGCGGGGGTGGCTACCCTCAGAAACCGCATACCTCCAGGATGCTGAGTGAGGATGTGCTTCTACCGCCTCCAGTGGGTTTCGGTAAGGGAAGAAGTTCTTCCCCTCCATGTCAGGACGGTGGCATCCTACTATTTCTCTTACTGGTAGGTGAAGAGTGACTTGTGTGACCCTGCCCAAGGGTTTGGAACCTGCTCAGTTTGCCTGCCCAAGGGTTCAACTCCAATGGCCACAAAACCTTCATTGGGTCATTGTTGTCTGGCTGCTCTAAGTCCAGCAGCTTGTCTATCCTCCATCACTCAAGCCACAAGTCGCTGTTGCTCTGGATGCAGAGCCCCACAGGCCACAAACTCCCTATTGGGAGTCTCCTAGGCTGTGCTGAGCTGGCTTGAGATCCCAGGTGAGGGATGTCACCTGTCTGCAGCCACGCACCAGTCACTCCACTTCAGGCAGAACCTCTTCTATGCCTTCCTGGCTGAGGGCACAGTCCTTCTTACAGCCTCAGGCTTCAAGGATGCAAAGCCATCCTGATGCACCTGCCCAGGTGTGCAATCGAGTGAGGATGCCGTCTTGGTGGCCCAGCATTTGCCAGGGGCTTGCTATGCAGCAACCTGAGAGATCTCATTCCCAAGACAGACCCCTAGACTTTGGAACGCCTCCCTCCCTCATATACCCTCTGCATCACATCTTACAAGCTTGGAGAGACCCCTAAAGGGCAAATTCCACCTCCAGGTCTGCAGGCTACATCTTGCAAATGGCTGTTTCCCCCCCTGCGATTCTGTTCTCCCCTGTTTTACTTTTGCATCCAGCCACTGCTGTAATTTTCCTGTGCTTTTTGGATGATAAAATGAGAAGAGGGTAATAAAAGGTAGAAATGAAAAGAAAATTAGGAGCACCAACCAACAGAGCCACAAGCCAATCCTTGGGCCAGTCTTCATGGCCTATTTTTATATCGATTGACCTCATTTGAGAGGTAAGTTGTCATCTTAAACATGTCTAATTTCTCGAATATTCCAGGCAGTGAACACTTAGTGTTGAATAACTCATGATGCAAGCAAGATAGTATCAGACTGGCAGCCTCAAACTGTGAAACCGAATCAGGTTCAGGCCTTCCAAGAAAGCAACTTGAAGAGAGAAAAAATGATCAAGACATTCATATTAGAATGATATAATCACCACCTACGACTTCACTAAATACAGAGGGAGGAAGAGCTGAGGCTGAAGACTTGCTGAATCCTGGAATGATTTTGTTTTTGAGAAAATTACATGCATTAATGCATCTTAAACACCTCCTGGAAAGCCTTCAAATGGAAAAACATAGCAGCGAACACAAGCACTTTATTTCCGATGGTTTCAACAGGGAAAAAAAATAACAGTCCCCCCCCTCTCAGAAGAGTTGTATTTCATCCCCTTTTACCTGGGGATCCACATATAACATTATTTCTTTCCCATTATTTCAATGGAAACAATTAGTTCTTTTTAAAGGCTGCAGTGCCTCTGTCAACATCCCTGGGTACTCCACAATATGCATTGGAAGGGACCATAATATTTCATTATTATATTTACTAATATAATGTTAATATTTAACATTTCATTAAATGGGGAGGGGCATTTACAGAAAACTGACGAGTCAAAGATGTCTTCCGATCATGAAATGGCAAGCAATAGAAAATAACATTAGTGTGAGATGTAGGCAGCAGGAAGGGGGTTTAGTGTACATCCCTTTTGCTGCTGTCAGATCGATGATGATGATGATAGTGGTGGTGGTGTATAGACTGTTGCCTCTTCACGATGTCTCCATAGATGCGGGCCCAGTTGTGTTTTGCTTTACTCCCCGTTGACCTAAATATCTGCAAAGGAGAACTCTTGTGCATCCCGCCATATGGGGGCAGATACTGAACCTTATCTCATAGGATCCCTGATTGTGTTGGCAATGAAAGAGATTGCTATTCTTGGTGCACATTCCAGCAGCAAGAAGAGGACTGTGATGGCTGGGAAACGGGGAGTGTGGGGATCAAGATGGGGGAGGAGGGGGAGGTTATCCCAAGGTCACCATCTCCAAGATCTTTGGGCTAACCATGGGGCAGGCAGGGTTTGGTCAGTGAGGAGGGGGACCAGGGACAAGTGGAAGAGGAGCAGCATTGGACTAGAAGGGCTGGCCAGTTAGAGGACCTGTGTGGATCTAGAAGGCTACACAGCCTCCTTCTCCAGAGGGCCCCATCCGGAGGACGGAGGCCCACAGTGATTGAATAGAAGGATTCCTGGAAGTATTTCCTAGTCTGGGTTCAGCAAATCACATTGTTGCGGCTCTAATTTGCGGCTCTAGTTTGTCAGCTCTGAACTGGAAATAAACTCTTGCAAAGAGTTTGGCTTTTGTTTGAAACAGACAAGGGAAAGTCCAGCTCCTGACAGATTGCCTGTGATCTGTCATCCTATAGGATCCCTGATTGCATGGGACATCTATGCAAGGGCAGTTGTATGTAGGCCATTACTCTCCTTGCAAATATTTGGCACCATGTGCTGGGAGCACTGCCCTGGACGGGCTCCGCTGGGAGAACAGCGAGGAGGCTATTAAAACTCAGCAGAGCTCACTGAACATTTTCAGTGTCTGAAAGGCAGGAGAAACTTCTTAAAACCATGCCAAAGTCAGATGGCCTTCCTCTTATTCCTTTGTTAATTTGGAATTCTTTCTGAAATCGTCAAGAACATTTGCATTTGAATACAGTATGTACTTTAAAGATAGCTGTGCTCTGTATACACATTTCTTAACATGGTATCTAAAAAGATGGTTTTGCAAATACATTTTGGTCCTTTCTGAGCTGAGGACTATATGTTAAAATTAAAAGAAAAACAGAATTGTAATGTGTGTTCTGATCTGCATATTAATGCAGAAGGATGGGCTTGCCTGTTTGTATGAGATTTCACAAAGAGCAATTTTATCAAGCACCCCAACCCACCAGAAATGAGACATCTGGAGTTGACGCTGAAGCCGGAAGTCAAAGTCAAAGGACATCTGGAAGCAAACCAGAACCAGGAAGAACTGCCTGGGCTCACACAACTTCCCAGTCCAACCAGGAACCCCTTGCTGGTCTTTCCTGTCCAGGATGGCCCAGTGGACAGCTGGCTTGTGTGAACGAGTTCATCCCCAACTGGTTTCCTCTCCCTGCTGAGTGTAATATGTAGCCATCCTCTCCCTGGATGAATCCTCTCCCATTCAGCCTTTTTTCTGTCTCTTCTCCTGACAAAGGAAGAGAAATAACCAACAGAGCCTGACTTGGGCAATGGGCTCTGCTATGATGTCAGGATAAGTCCCTTCCTTCCCGGTCTCCATGACAGCTGTGGGTCTTCTCATCTCCTATTTCAGGTGGCTTTTGGAGCCTGTTAGAAGAGGGGATATTTGTGCTTTCCTAGTCGAGGATTTGCTTATCTACATCTTTCAAGACAGCTAGCATACACACGGCTTACACATATACTCACACACATATTTGCCACGAAAATGCAGACACACTGTGCATGTCACACACACATTCTAGCATGTGTGCATATCTTTGAAATAAATGCACACAAAACTATGCAAGGCCATGGACAGCAGAGGGAAGGGCATTTGATTTCAGGAAAAGAAACAGCAGCAACCGAAGA